GTCAAAAGTTGGACGTGGATGACGAGGAGTCACTCACACGATAAGTTCCACTCGACAAAGTCACAGCAGAGCTAAAAAAGTAAAAAGTTGTACGTGGACAACGAGTACAGTCACTCGCATGATAAGCTTCACTTGACAAAGTCGATAGCGAAGCTAAAAACAGCGATGGTACTCATATCAGATCAGATCAGAAGATGAGTTATCCTTCTGGTATAACCTTACCTTGTAATGTATATGTAACTGTTCATTTGTAGAATCTGCTTGTAGCAATGAAGCTCTATTGATGTAAGGAGTTATCCTTCTGGTATAACCTTACCTTGTAATGTATATGTAACTGTTCATTTGTAGAATCTGCTTGTAGCAATGAAGCTCTATTGATGTAAGGAGTTATCCTTCTGGTATAACCTTACCTTGTAATGTATATGTAACTGTTCATTTGTAGAATCTGCTTGTAGCAATGAAGCTCTATTGATGTAAGCTTCAGCTTGTACTGGATCTTCATTTTCTAAGTATAGTCTGGCTATCTTTAAATATGTTTCCAATTTATAGTCAACGGAATATTGTCTGTAAAAGAATAAGATTAACGCTGAAAATATTAAAATTCTTTATTTATTTATTAATGATTTACATTTATTAACACATACGGCAAGTGTCAGAAGGAAGAGTGCAGAAGGTAGGAACAATTACAGTAAACATTAACATTCACTGGGTTTTAAATTCACAGACTTGTCAGGAAAAAAATGTATTCTATTGTAATTTTATACATACAAATGGATTCAATCCAGCATATAATTAACACGTTAATTATTAGCTGGTTTTGATTTTCACTGGTAAGAAAAATTCACATAAAAATTAAATTAAATTCACATAAAAAATGTAGAATAATGATAGAATTCATAATTTTTCTGCCAAATTTGTGTACTTGAAACCAAAGGTATATACTTAAAACATCAAAATAGTGAAAGTAAATTCCAGTGAAAATAAATTGTTTTACATTTCATGGCATTCTCCCTGAACTAAGAAATCATCATTATATAATGAGACAAATGCTCTCCTATTAAAAAAATTATCAGTTTTATTGTGAATCAAAATTACAGGTGGCCAATTCTATGCCACCTGGAAACTCGAATTTATCACACACTACTGTCAACGGATGTATTATCACTGGAATGTGTTTGTGAATCGAGTGTTCATAGATAAATTTCTGTGATCATGACAATTTGAAGTACATATAGTGACAAATCGTGACTAATTAGTATCATTAGGTGCAAATGTGCATTAGCCAATGATGATACAACATACCAGTAAGTCTGTTATCGAACAGAATATCAGTCACACTTGAACCTACACATGCATTTAATTCTCAAATTAGTAATTTAAAATGAATTACTTCTGTCCTGTTTCTAATGGTATCCCCACAAGAACATTAGCTGCCTCTCTCCATCTCTGCTCTCTTTCATAGATTTCGGCAAGATGTTGTCTCACTGAGGCTACCTATCAATATAGAAATGAGTAATTTGTCAACATGGTCGTAATAATGAAGTATCTTATCTTGTATACATAGTAGACATACTGTACTTTAGTTTACTGTGACTGCAAGAAAGAATGAAATGGCAATATTGCAGTATGAGACACAGTTATGATATACCAGGTAGCTATACTTGCTCACAATGTAGTCATTGCTTCCTGTGGCAACACTTTGTGTAATGTAGCTATGTTGTTAGCAAAACAGTGTCTTATGCTGAAATATTGCCATTTCATTCTTTCTTGCAGTCAGCAGCAATTATCCTAGGTTAAAGAGCCAGTTGTAGGTTTACATTTTGTGGAAAAAAAAAACAATGATTATCACATGATCTGAACGTTTTGATCACAACATGCTGTCGTAACTGTAGCATTACATCATAAAAGATATTGATGTACATGAAAATATATACCAGGTATCTGCCTAATAGGGGTGGGGTGGGCATCGAGTATTCATACCAGTTCTCATGCATTTCCACATTATGGCAAAATTCATCAGAAAGCAATTGACATAAATGCAGTTAATTTTCATCATTATTTGCACACATTATGCATACCACCTTCTTTATATATGCATGTACACCCACTCACAATGACAATATTCAAATTGAAATTTATGCAACACACTTGCATAAATGTATTATAAGACAGTTGAAAGGTTGGTAGCATTTCAAAGGGGTCAATCATGACAGGGCAGTGTTGCATGCACCTCACCGACACTAAAATTGTGTCCAACTACCTCTTGCTCAAAAACAGGTACATCAAGTGATCAATCTGGTTGTTTCAATAATATGAATGGTTCTATCTACTCACTTGTCTATGTGGGTTCACTATGCAAATTTTGACATCCAAAATACAGAACAGGCTTACCCCTGGTGTTGTGACTGACCCACCTATCGAGTGGAATGCTGTCCAGGACAAATATTGTACTTATAATAAAGTGCTATGGGCCATCTTGCTGTCAGTTACATGTACATTAAAAATTAACAATGTACTACAACCTAGAGACCATTAAATCTGGAGTGTCTAGCTATCAGTGCTCAGAAAATAAATCCCATAAATGAGGCACCTCCTCATTAGTTTATTATTAGAGTTACCCTCTAAGGTCAATCATGATAAAATTAATCTAAAGCATGTAAGGGTTGTGAACTGCGAACCCATGACCTTTATGTGTAACCTTACAAACCTGTTCTTCAAATGATATTACTCTGGGTTGTACTTTTTCCAATGTAAAATGAGAGACCTCTTTAGAGATTGGATCTGCTAACTTTGCCATGTAGTTACAGAAGTCTGTTAGAATCTGCCTGGAAATAACCAAGCTGACATTCTCATTCACCACTGAAAAAATAAACATCATAATCATGGTCAGCATAATTTTGTGGTTCCAGGATACATACAAATGTACACTGACGTCATATTATTTATCAGAGATTTTCATGAACACAGACAGCCTTCACAGAGTGCTATCATAAACCACTAACAGCCATCATTGACATTCTACATGTATTTTTTGATTAGATCATTTTTATGCAATTCAATATATGACTGTAAATTATTGTACATAAAATTTCATTTGGTCACGCCTTTTCTTTCTTAGACTTTATATTCATTCTCAGTGAAAGTGTTCTGTGTATGATGTCAGCGAACAGGACCTGCACTAGCTTTTCCCTGTAATGTGAGGAGTAAGCAAAAAGGAACTGGAAAATGGAACCATTTTTTCCAAAATAGAGGTTTCTGTCTAATAGTTAGCGTCTGGGAAGTACATGTAGTATTTGGGGTTAACGCAAATCCTAGATATGAAATAAACATTTTTGAGATTGTTGTTTGATACAGGCAGCATTATACAATGTGTGTAGAGATGTACATACTTGCTTCAACAAATGCTTTCAGTCCATCAATCAACTTCTTGTCAGTCGTTTTAAAATGTCTTCTAATATTTTACGATATCTACAAGATGAACGAAAATTATACTATAAAAACATACTATATAACACTGATTTGTCAAAACCTCAACGGGACATTCAAAAGAAAACATTAAATTTGGAGTGTGGGATATCAAAAAAAACAAAACATTTTTAACAGCAGACCATACGATGATGGAAACTAAAAGACCAACCTCGGTCAGGTCAAATTGTATTTTGCAATCAGCGATTAATTTGAAAACGTGTTCATTCTCACGATACTAATCAGACTGATGTTGAAACAAGGTTTTACTAACAAACAATAGAACTGGTCACATCACTTTCTTGTTTGTTACTGCACTACATAGAACAACATTTTTAGAACAACAAAAAATCAACACATCTTTGCTTTATTTTCCATGCAAACGCTCTGCACTCTAAAAAACATTTTAATGTAGCCAGTCATTCACAGAAAACCATACTTTTGACTACACTCACAAAATTTGTTCCGTGGTATGGGGATCAATAGCCCCTCCATTCCAATCAACATCATTTTTGGAAGATCAATTCAACTGTACGATTATTGGATCCCGCTCAACCCACAACACATTCACAAGCTTCAACGCTCATTGGTTTCATAAGTTCAAATTTTTAATAAATCAATAAACTGCTCAGCTAAATTCGCTTGCCAAGTATTGACTGCTACATATTATTATTATCAGAGGTACATTGCTTGGGGTTTGCAACGCCCATAGTACTGTATGGTGACATCACGTCAAGATCCCATTCAAGTCTCATCTCGTAGATAGCGAGACTGATGCTACGACCTTCTGACATGACATAGGCGGTTTGTAATAAAACATGTATTACAACATTCATAGTGAGAAAATGTACAGAAAATATAGTTATCATAATCCGTCATATCGTGAGCAGCTATTTTGATCCACCTGGACATCCCAGTATCCTAGTTACCTTGGGCATGTGCATTCGCATTTTTCTGGGTTTGAACACTTATGCGAAAGTGAGATTGAACCGGATCTTGGTATCATGTCTCCGTGGTTGCAAACCCCAAGTAATGTACCTCTGTTATTATTTATTGACTGTTAAATTTCAACTAATAATAATATTTTCTTACAAAACAGTGTGTTATATGGCAATACTGCTGGATGGACTGCTTTTTCGTTCACAGTGAATGTAGTATTTTTCTTGAATAAATAGGGGACTAACTAATTATCCAATGGCAATAAGGTGAATCTATATTATCTCCAATATATAGCGCCCTCTCGCCGTCAAGTGCGGACAGACATAAATATTACAAATTCATGCCCAAGTTGATATTCACACAAAGATTTTTGTTCTTAATATATACATATCAAGTTATACAAGCTTTCTGTGAACCGAATGACACTTACTTGTCAGCAACGTCTTTGTGAGGTCCACCAGCACTGGCAAGAGCAGCAAGTTGCTGCTTCACGTCGGCCATTTTGGATGTTGTCCTCGTATACGAACAATTTACTCTCTATTGAAACCAATCGCATTTCTTATACGTGTCTTAAGTAAATAAAATATAGAGGCTATAAATAAATAATAACTCTTTTATAATCTGTATTTTGATATTCTACAATATTGTATTTGTAGAATATTATTCTTAAAAAGTAATAAGAAAACTGTTTTTGTTCGAGGTTGGCACTTCGCGGAAATTGTTGCGGTTATTATGGGATGGTAATGGTGGGCGCGTGATTTTGAACAAATATCCAGCCTGCCGACCTGGAGAGTGATCAAGATGCACCGAAATGATTAAGTTATTCATAGAAATGGTCACATAACCTGAAACTATAGGAATTAAAGGGTACCAGGATCGAGTATAACCCTGATAAGTTTGGCAGCTTGGTGAGTAGCGTTGTTGTTTGTCAAGAGTAGAGGGTCAGGAATTTCAACCCAGACTGTGTGTATTCCTATGTAATCAAAAAGGTCACTGCGTCAAAGACGCGCGGTGTTTAACTTTTATAATATTTCGTTCATCGTAAAAATCACAACATTTTATCAGTCTTAAAGTAGAAGAAAGCTTGTTTTTGTGTGTATCATTTGGGTGATCGACAGTGGCATTAAAAACAGAAAGTGCCAACGCTGTTACAATTTTATGGTTTCAGTGCGTTTTGGTTTCCACCCAGTATAGTTCTGAATCGTTCTTTTGCGTACTCGCATTACACGAATGACAGTCAAAATGGCAGACCATCTTTCACAGATAAAAATGACGACAACAAATGCTATATTTACAAATTGGCCCGTTGTGTGAAAAAGATGAAAAGTGTAAATTTTAGCCAAATAAAAACGTATACAGATTCGTCTTTCGTACATGTACGTTTCCGGCTTGATTTGCGTAATTAGTTCACATTTCATGGTCTTTGTTGTATACTTTATCGTTACTATTAATAAATGAATAACTTTTCAAACCATTAATAAAATAATCACATAATTTGATGGTCATTTAAATTTGCTCATTTTACTGTTTTATTTACGATACTCTAAAAAATGACTTTCTTTGTTATTGTACAATGGTTTGAGTAATTTCTGGTTCCAGCTACCGTACATTATAAATGTTAATCCAACTCGATTTGTATTCCACATTAATTTTCTTTCATATCAAAATATCTGGATTCAATGGACCATATTAAGATATCATATTATTTTTTAGCTCAGAATGTTATGAAATTGTTGAAATTATTATGAATCTTGTATCAGCCAAAAAGTAAATATTGGTGCAAGTATTTGATTTGTAATAATAATATCTAATTCCCAGATTACCGATGTGTGAAGTATGTTTTGTTTTGTTTTTTTTAAATTAAAGAATGCACAAAGCCACTACTGCAATTAATATTAATAATTACATGTCAATTATGTCTGTACAAAGGGAACCATTTTAAGTGACAATTCGTCCCACATTTTTTTGAAAATGCCCCCCCCCCCCAAAAAAAATTATTTGTTCAGTCTTTGCTGTCATTGTGACATGGTTCAGTTCAGTTAAATCATGATTCATTTTTAGAATTCAGAATTATTTTAAAGAGGTTCTGCAATGGTTTATTTTATTTTATGAGTGTATGAATATATTCTGAAAATATATGTAAAATTTAAAATGCAATATTTAGATTTTTGTGGTACTCCCATGGTGCATTTCACTTCTTTAAGCACAACTTCCTGAGGTGAAAAACAATAAAACGAGCTGACTCATGCAGGATTTCAAAACTGGTAAAGGGGGAAAATAATTAAATTCCCTAGCACTCTGAAAAGAAGTAGGGAGATTCTTTTAATTTTTTTTTTCACAATAAAGGGAAAATGTATCACTTTATTCTACATACAAGGACAGATTTCTCAAATTATTTGAATTAGCTACATTCAATGACATACCTTCAGAGATCTCGCCACGCTGGTCGCGTCCAACCAGCATACAAAATTAGCGACCACCAAGGAAATGCTTCCGACCAGGACTATTGTCTGATTGTTATTACAATTATGTGCCGACCGACACGTATCCTGCCAGTCGTGGATTATAATTTGTAAACAATTGACCTAGTCGCACGATACGTATCGGCTTGTCAATTTTGTGAAATTAGCACCTCTTTGTTTGTAAGAAAATACTTTCTGTGATAGACACAGTCTTTAGCTAAAATTCATTCAAAATCAATTCCACCTTGATATAACATGGCCAAAGCAGAGTTCACGATCAGTTTATGCTACCCGACAAGAAAAAAATCAATGTGTTTATTGCGTGATTTGGTAAAATACATTTGAACTGTTATCACGGATCATGTAAAAACTCTTGTTTCAAGACCTAGTTTACCTTTTAAAAATTTCTAAACACCTCTTTCGAAAACCATCATGCAGTTTTCAACTGAAATCAATGCCAATACATTGTGCTACGACATCGCTTTACTTCCGCAATGTAATTTTTATGATCACTACCATTCAGAAAACTTCGGATTCTACCGGCATTACCATGCGTCATTCTGATTGGTTAATGGCATTCTTGACCCATCGGGTCAAAGGACATATGCCGGTCAACTAATGCGTCACAAAGATCATGGCTGGCTGGGTTTTTTACAGAAACGATCAAGGGATAAAAAATAACCACTTACCATAACCATTTTACTTTTATTTCATATCAAAAAATATTTTTGCATGGCATCATGACTGAGTAAGAAGAATTATTGGTATAACCGGTGTATAACATCGCGAAGTAAGTTATGTCACGTCATAACTTTGAAAGTTTTGAAGTTTTATTTGTTTGTTCATTACTGTGAATATATACATTTTAGTAGTTGATGATACAAATAATAAATAACAAACAATACACCAAATAAGATTGTAAACATATTCCTAGCTGAAATGTTTCAGATGTGTTTTATTTAACTGTTTACAATAGACATTAATATTGTAACAATTATTTATTTGTTTCTGTTTTTAGTCTGCAGCATTCGCATTATGAATACATTTCATTTTTAAATTCAAATTCTTCTAAATTGTGAAACGTAATGATCGAACTCATTAATATTCATTGCAAATTAATATTCATATAGCTCATTAATATTCATGACCGACTGGCACTCCCGTTGGGCTGGCGAGATCCCTGCATTAATTTGTCTTGTTACAAATTTACTGAGACTGAGTCATCTGTCTGTGATATAGATTGGGGAAGAAGAATATTGTTGCTCTTAATGAAGCTTGTGTAGATCTTAATTTTGAAATGGATTGATCCTGATTGTAAAGTTAAACTTGAATTAAATTTCATATTACAGCTATTCTGAGAATTAGTCGGACAGTCAATTAGCAAGATAACTTGAACTTAAACAGAACTGCTATGAATGTACAACTAGTGCAGTAATAGAAGTTTGTTCATGGCCAGTATTTTTTTTCTACTCGCTGGCCTGCTTTTCCAGTACAAATTTTACATGAGTTTTGCACACTGGTGTGAAGGAACACTAAAAACAGATGTGAAAATGGTACATTTCTCGGCATGTGTGAAGAAAATCTTACTTTTTAACCACCAGCTTCCTCTTTTCATCACAAATAAAATAAATATAAAATAATAATCTTGTTTATAGTCTACACTTTCTGTCAGAAGATTGGTACAAAAAATGTTTTAAGTAAAAACTAAAAATTGACTCAAATTTTGTCTGTCGGCTCCAAAATTAAGGTTAATTTCCATAAATATTGGATAATATAAGAAAAAAACTGTAGACAAATTTTGACAAAAATATCTGGTTGCGAAAAGGTTAGGAGCCACATCCACATCAAGAAAGTTATGATAATAATAATAATTAATAATAATAATTATTATAGAATAATCATACTCTTTTTGGATATTTGAACTCAAAAAAAAAAGTACAATGAAGATCAACTGAGAAAGTAGCATGCCAAGAGCATTCTAATAGCACAATTCATTGCCACTCAAAAGTTAAAGTAACCACCCCACCCACCCCCCACCCGCCGAAGTGAGTTATTTATGTCTACTTACTAATAATAAAAATAATTATGGGGTCAACATGATACTGTATAAAGATCATGTTGAAACAACGTATTGAAGTATTGTGTCAATGCCAATATAGATATTTAACATTCCATTTTTCAACACGCTTTGTTCAATGTGAAGTGCATGTACCGGTACAGTACTTGTTCGGGTAGGAATCTACAGCTGTCATATTTGTAAGCTGGTTGGAATTCCAGATGATTGGTGATTAGCATTTGATTATAATAGATTGGATATTTTATTTGAAACATAAACACTTGTGTGAAGTCCAACAAATGCGAAAACTAACAAAAACAACAAATAATTCGGAAATTGAATCGTATATCAGAGTGTATTTATACCAGGTCACCTAATCCAGTAAATTTCATTTTTTAAAAACAACAAAGTAACTATAAATAACTGTTTGAGGTTAGAATGTCATGTCGAGATTACATCGGTCTTCAGAAATCCAGTCATAATTTGTTTTTCAAGAACAGTCTTGTTGAACTCTAACCCTGTATAAACTAAACATACCGTACACCCAACCCAGAATATCCCCTATAATTCATATAACAAACTTACAAGTTTAACAATGTAGAACTTAAAAGTAAACTTATGTATACTGTAAAATGGTTAACTATTCACTGGGTTTTAATTTGGCTTATTTCGCTGACTGGAAAATGCGCTAAATTAAAACCCAGTGAATATGTAAAATTTAGCATAAAACAAATTATTTAAATGATAAAACCGTGAATTTAAAACCCACTGAATATGCCTGAAATGGTAAATCAGTGAAATTTAAACCCAGTGAAAATTAGTCATTTTACAGTACATCACTTTTACATACATGTACCATAATTGTCCAACTTAGCACCCAGGGTTTTTCTTAGGAGGGTGGGCACTTAGCTAAGTACCAACATCGCACAATTCTGCAAGTGACCATCTCTCCAGGGAAATTAAAACTGTGAATTTAGTTTTGTGGCCATTGATTTTCACACACTTTTACAACAAAGAAACAGAAATGGTCACAAAAATATGTACATTCTATTACAATATTAATTAAGTACCATCAGAATTTACTATGTTACAGTCAAAGTCAAGATCTTTATCGTCAACTTTGAATGTGTTTGATCATATGCAAACTCTTGATATAAAGGAATTTCCAGCATGTTGTTTTCAAGCACAATTTGACCTGCAACAATGTCCTTTGACCTAATAGGTCAAGTCTGTTATTAACCAATCAGAATGCTGTGTTGTACAAATGCAATTCTCTGGGACTTCCTGAGGGCATTAATGCAATACAAAAATTAATTTTCGATGTCTAAGTACTACAAAAAAAATTATGCCATTTGTTCGCTAAAATCAATTCCTACAGATCAAACTATAC